CGCCCACATATGCAAAGGTACTTGCAGGCTACAAAATTTTAGGGGCGCACAAGAAATCATCGTCTACCCATCTGGGTTCTTCTCAGGCTGGGCAAACATCCAAAACCGCAGCAGATGGGTCAGCAAAGGGAAACCAATCATGTTAGTACCACACATGTGGAGAATTCACCTGTTAAAATTCTAAAGCATAGCAGAGGGGACCGGGGTGTTGATGCTGCCTTGTAGGACCTAGTGGGGCAAGGGCAGAGGGGGGTCACATGACAGACAACGAGGGGTGACTTCACCTTTACTCTCAGAGTGAAGATGAGATTCTTAAAGAAGACATACTGACTGGTGAACCTAGAAGTGGATGGGAACCCCCAAACTACTTCTGGTAGTCAAACGGGGAGTCGTGACTGCTTTTTTGACTAGGAAGAGGACAGAAGCTTAGGATCTGATGCTATCTTCTAGTAAAGTTGGGTGAAAATTTGGGGAAGAGCAAAATCTCCCAAACTTCAGAGCCTCACTGATCTCACTGAGACAATCTGCATTCTTTGAGTAAAAGTACAGACGCCCGATGGCTCATGGGGCCTTGATCAGCCTCTAGTTCCAGAACCAAGGGAGGTGAGGCCAACTGACCCTTCTAGGTAGACTGGCTGAGCCCAACTCAAATACCTTTTGGTCCTCAGAGCTTGCTAAACACAAGCTCTGGCTGGATTAGCTCTGAAGAGCAAGGGACGCCTGTGAAGTTGTGACGAGAGTTTTCCACCAATGAGCTAAGTTTGTTGGAAACCAACCTCTTTTTGTTCACTTGAAAGTGTTGAAATGAACTAGATGTTTTCTTTCTTTTTAAAAATAATTATGTACTTGAAACCAGAACCCCTCCCTCCCCTGGGGCTTCGCTGCCAGCCCCCAGAGCACTGCTTTGGGGCTGTGTAAATGGCGGCAAGTGGTGGGTGTTTTACTGCCGCCACCGGGGCCCCACCAGGGCTCAGGCTGCAGGCGGAGTCCAGTGGTGATGGTGGACTCGGTGGCTCCCTACCCCACTGCCCCAGGGCAGGCAGCCCCTGGTTCAAGGGTGCAGGGAGGAGTGAGGTCCCAGGGCCAGCTCTGGTGAAGCTTCTCCACCTGCAGGCAGCACAGGTGAATTTGGTTCCTGGATGGTGAGGGCCGTCAGGTGTGACCTGTGAGCTGACCTGTGCTACGGTCCAATCAGCCTTGGGATTGAACGCAGCCCAATCAGACTTGTGGGGAGGGAGGCGGTCCCTGAAAAAGGATATAAAGCAGGACAAAGGCCCACCTGGGGCTGCCCGGACTCTCTTAGACTCCCGCACTCTGGACTCTGGTGCACTCTGTTCCTGGGACACAGTTCCTGGCCTCTGAAGAGACAAGAGAAGCCCGGGGGCTTTGCAGAAGCCGGGCGCCACCCTCCGGCTCTGCCTCTGATACGCCTGAAGGGAGCCTGGTGTCCTGAAGAGCTGTTTGTTGTTGGTGCGGGTCACCTTTGAGAGCTGTTAAGGCTGGTGTTGCGGATCCCGCAGCCACCTAGTGACCAAATGACGTCTCCACTGGCCAGTGCTCTCTCTCCAGCACTGTTAAGGGGTGGCTGGCACCCTGGGTCACCTCGGAGATCTGTTAATTGACCAGCATCGCCTCCTAATGCTGCTGCCTCTGTGGCTGTCTAGTCCAGTGCCCAGTGCTGTCCATCCTGACCTGCAGACTGTGTTGTGGGCTACTGTGGCGCCATCTCCGTGGCTGCACCTGTGGTGAGTTGGTCCTGGCTAGCTGCTTGCCGGCTGCCCCCAGGGCCTTGTTGGTGAGAGGGCGCCATCTTGGATGAGTGACTCTGTTTAGGACTTTGGGCACTATGGACACTGTGTGGGGTGACGTAGCTGGCACATAGAAGCGCTTTGTCTTCGCCTGTTAAATAAGCCCCATCGTTGTTTCCTGACCCTGTGGTCTTGCAGTTGTGCATGAGGGTGAAGAACCGACAGTGACCTGTCCCCTACCGGCCACTGTCCTCTTGACACTACAGCCCTGCTGTAGGCCCCACAGTGCTTTCATTTTTTCTGTAGCTATAACTTGTCAGTCTAAACCACGGCTGGAATCTCTGAGAGGCCATTCACTCTGAAATCTGATCTTGTTTCCCTGGAGCAGGGTCCTCCGTTTAGCTCTAAATAAGTTCTTTCAAAAATTCTTCCTTAAACTTTGAATCCATCTCACAGTGACGATCATTTCAGTCAACAGCTGCTGTGGGATCCCATCATCGGCAGTGAAGTCGGGGAGCAGGGAACGGAGGGGCTGACCAAGACAGGGCACCTGCAAGGAGCAGCCTAGAGTTTCGTGTTTGCAGACATGCACCTGGGAGGTGAGTGGGAGTTACATGTGATGAGTCCAAATCCTACTGGCCTAAGCTCTTGGATACCTTCGTCTACATTGTGCCAGGGACAGCCTGGCTTTGCCCCGCATTGCCAGGTCCACCCTTCCGTGCCCTGGGAGCTGCTTTCGGTTGCAAGGCCTGGCCGCTGTGGCTTTACCGCCTCGCAGCGCCTGCTCTGAGTCGGGGCCAGCCCTATGGGGATCTCCGAGTGGACAGGAAGCTGGGCTGCCAGTAGAGGATGCCGGGACTCGGCTGGAGGAATGGGGCGACTCCCTAGCCAACCTTACTTTTCTCTTATTCTGTGGCTGCTTGGAGGTCCACCCGCAGTCCACCCGCAACGCGATGAGCGGGATGTCCCATGAGCTCTGCCCCAGAGGTGTGCCTGCACACAACTTCTCAGCGACCAGCCACAGCCCACTCCGCGTGGGCAGGCATGTTCCGGCCTGGTTCCAGCGGCTGTGCCCTGATGGCCTTTCTGCCAGCTGGCCTTGGTTTAGTGTCCAGAAGCTGGGCTCCTGTGGCCCTCCGCACAAGGACATTGCGCACACCACCCCTCCCTGAGCACGTATACTTAACCCGCCTCATGGCCTACGCCAGGAGTCTCCTGCTGGGGCCTGTGGGCCGGCTGCGGCCTGGGCAGCCCCGTAGGCCACCCCACTTCCCAGTGTCAGCCACACCTTCTCCGACTAGGCCTGAAGCTGAGCCTTGGGCAGAGGGGAAGGCAGGAGGAAGTCCCACTCTCCCAGTCCCGGGTACCTTTAGAATCCTTAGTTTGATAACTCCTTACAGTAAAAGTTACACCCCTTCACGTGATCAAAGGCTTGTCTCCTGATTGTACCAGAGTGATGAGGCATTAAGTCCAGAACCTATGACAAGGGCTGCCAGGCTGGTCCCTTCTGCCTTTGCAGCCCGTGTGGTCACCGCACTGGTCATCATAGAACCGCCCAGGGAAGGCTGTTAGCCATGCTCAGATCCAGCCCACCTCACAGGCCCGTCACAGGAAACTCTGAACGCAGAAAGACCTTTAACCAAGGGAGTAACTTATGCGACACCAATGAATTCATGCTGGACAGAAACTCTTTAAAGTGTGGTCCATACAGGAAAGGTCAGTTGAAGCCCAGTACTGTATGATTCGCACCAGAGAGAAACGTCCTGAATGTAACAAACAGGAAAAGGCCTTAGGGAGCTCCCTTGTTTGATAAATTCCAGGGCGTACTGGAGAGAAACTTGCTAAGTATAGTTAGGCTGGGGAAAATTTTAGTCAAGCTCCACCTTTACTTAATCCCCAGAGAATTTATATTATCAAGAAATTAAGGGAAGGTAGCAGAATACCAAGAAGCAGGACAAGATCATCAGAAATGTTATTTCACAGATTTCATTAATACGATGGATGACCTCTGTAACGTCAATCAAGAACATAGACTGAAGAGACTTCAGCCATGTATCTGAAATTTGCTGAAATTGACTTTATCAAGATAACTGGGAGAAATATAAACACCAAAACTCAGAAATGTGATTAAAGGTTGAGAGTACATATAACTCATTTTCACTGAATAGAAACATTTTAAGAAAACGAATACTGTCATATCATAACAGGTATGTATTTGCAAAACTGAGTAGGCATAAATTCTATTTAAGGGTCTGAAGTAGAGATCTAGAAACTCTTTACTATTTAGTTGATTCTGTCTGGCAGAATGACAGTATTTTAGAATTTGAATGATTTTAGGTTAGTGATTTCCGAAGTTCCCAATTATGATGTTTATATCATGTGGCTTCCTATGGCCAAACACACCCTTGACGCATGTTTGTAGCCAACGGCAGAGGGTAGCGTAGGCTGAACCAAGTGGTCTTGCAAGCCAAAGCCTCCCCAGGGACAGGGCTTACTTTCCGGGCTTTGCCTGTTGGACAAAAGAGAGCATTTTGCTCACTGAAGTATTTGGCTTATCACAAAACAGTAAACTTCGTGAGCCCAGATACAAGTTACTATATGTCAAGCACTGCAGTGGGAGCTTCATACATATTTTCTTACTTAAACATCAAGTCGGGGCCCTCCCTGGTGGTGCAACAGGTTGGGATGCAGCACTGCAGGCTGGCCGCAGTTGCTTTAGTGCGAGTTCGATCCCCAGTTTCGGGGGTGATCCACATGGCATGGCAGACCTCTCCTGACCTGCCTGTTCTGCTCCCCACTCTGTCTCTAGTGAATCATGTCACCGCCCCTGCACCTCTGGCTTGTACCCCAGTTCTGTATGCATAAATAAATCTTTAAAAAAAAAAATCAAGTCAGGAAGTGGTTTCGGTTTTCAGAAATGGTTTGAGAGATTAGTGGGTTGTGCAAGGTGAGGCGTGAGCAGCCCGCAGCAGAGCGGAGAGCAGGAGGGGGCGACAGTTGGCACTGGCCGGGGAGGATGGTGAAACCCAGACAGGGCACCCAATTCTGAGTCCCAGGGCTGTGGGCGCTGTGCTGTGGCTGTACAGCTGTTGAGCCAGTTTCCTCCTGTACTAATCTCTCAATTCACCTTAAAAATAAGCTCATGTCCATTAGCGATGGGTCTATGATAGTCTTTGCAACCCGAAAGGTTCTAATCCACACTTCAATAGCTTCACCTTTTTGAAAAGTACAAGAAATCATTTACAAGTCAAAAAGCATCAGAAATAAGACATAATTTTTATACACAATTTTCTTCTATACAAAAGGTTGAGCTTCATGGGAATTTAAAAATAAATAATCTAAAAGTCAGTGTCACTGATTGCAAATTAGGCATCTGACCACTTCAAGGCGACAGGCCTCTCTACGCGGCCAGAAGGTGAGGCGTGTGGCGTCGGTTCCGAGCCTGGGCGGTGAGTCTCTGGCGAAGATTTCTCACTCTCTCCATGAGATCTTGTTCCATGATGTCCAACTGCATTTTTCTCTGATTTAAAGAAACTGAAAACGAAATTTAAAATTAACTTAATTTTTTGACGTTAGCAACAATACAGTGTTTAAATGTAAATGTTGCAAAAAAAAAAAATCAATGAAACCAACATCCTAAAAACCAAATTTGTTGAGCAAAACATCTAACATGCTACCTAGCTCTCTATGGTTCTATTTATAAGCCAAATATTATTGGGTTAGTGCCATGAGCACTTGTCTGATTTTTGTTTATTTAGCAATGTTTTTGGTGATACAATGACTTAAATTAGGAACAAAGCTGACAGTTGATTTGAAACCTTTTTCCCTATTAAATAAATTGTATTCTTTACAACACTACATGATTTAGGGGTACAGGCTCACGCCTCTTAAGATGCATGTCTCACACCACACCCACCACAGCACCCACTGTCCTCCACCACAGCGCCCTGGCCCCTCCCTCTTCCACCCTCTCCTGGGAGCCTCAATCCTATAGTCAGATTTCCGAGGTTGGTTGAGAAATTTTCCTCAACAGGAGTTTGTTTAATTAGCACCACCTCCTCAGCCCTCTCTGACCATACAGATGCTGACTAGTGACAACCTTGTAGCAAAGCAGTAATTTGATGAAAGTGCCAAAACACACCCAGTTTATTCCTGACAGACTGTGTGGGAGGACTTGGTGATACCAGAAGCAAGAAAGGCATTCACAAATACCTTCGCTGCATGGATGTTCAGCATATTCAAAAGCATCCTTTAGCTCCTTCTCTAGAAACAACTTTCTAGAGGCATCTGAAAGATCAGCTTGCTTTTCTGACTTCAAATAGAAGTCTTTGTCTTCAGCTTCCTCCCACTAAATAAAAGGAAAAAAAGTCACCAACACTATGGCAATGTTGGTTCCTGATGGAACATGCCGTTCCTTTCTTCCTCCCTCCAGTCCCACAGGGTAATTTGGGTGCCTGACTAGGCCTGACTAGGCCTGAGCCTGCCCAAGGCTCCTGAGAGCAGCGGCACTTCGATGCACCCCCAGGCCTCCAAGAGCCGCGCGGCACACAGCCGCCAGAGGCCACGGCAGCAGCGCCATTCCAATGGCTTGCAAAGCAAAACTTCCTGGATTAAGTAGTTTTAAAAAATCAATGGCAATCATTCTATTTAATTTGAATGCTATGTCCTAGTAACAAAGCCTATACACTGCAGAGACTGAATGCGTTCTTCGCCCACTTGGCACACACGATGACGCCAGGGAAGCCAGGAACCTGTTGGGCCCCACTTCCTTCCTAAAGTGAGAAAATAAGATTAGCTCAAAGGGTGTCTAATACACTTAAAATGCATATAACCTTTAAAATTTAACAAATCCTCAGGACCAGGAAGAGTCTCGTAGATTCTGATGAGGCACCTGGCTGATCTGCCCAGGCCACACGGGAGCCAGGATGGCCTCAGAACTGAGGACGCTGGAAGCAACAGGACTCTGCAGAACACCAAACATCCTTACCATGCTCTTCTGTCCACTCTCAGATGTACCATTTACCCGAAGGCAAGCAGCCCCTCAGTAACACGGCCAGTCCTAGTGCCAGGCTTCCCCCTGCACTTTCCCCAGGAGTAAGCCTCAGGGGTCTGGGCATCGCTTGCCCCCTGCTCTACCCCCCTTTGAATGGAAGAGGTAGGTGCCCTCTCCCTTGAATGGGGAGGAGGCGAATGGATCTGAACAGTGACTGAAGGAAATCACCCAGGCAAAGCTTCCGGAGCTCCCAGTTAACTAGCTCCGGCTCTCCTTTACCCTGCGGGGTCCTTGGCAACACCTGTTGTGTCTGTGGTAATATCTACACAGGCCCTAGAGCTGCTGGATCTGCCGAAAGTACAGACGTGTGACAGATTCGAAGGTGCCTCTTCAAAATCCATTCTGATTCTAATTTATTTGGGATGATAATGCTCCCTGCTTAAGACCCTACATTTCCTAACATTCTCTGCAGCTAGATGTGACCAGAAATGTGATACAGGCCCTCTGGAAAGGAGTTAAAAGGAGCCGTTTCAGCTGCAGTTGGAACCTTTCGCACTTCCACTCACCCTCCTCCTGCTGTCTGGACTGTGCATGTGATGGGGAAACTCCTGGGGTTGCCCTGACAGCAAGGCTCCTTGGGAATGAAAGAGCTACCAGGAAATCATCAGCAGGCTGCAGGAGGCCACCTCCCTGATGGGCCTGAGCCAGGACGCCAGTCCTCTGTGGCCTCCCTCCCGGCTTTCTGCATGTCAGAAACACTTGTCTTGTTTCTCGTCACTAAAAGCTGAGTTTTGCTATTGGCAGCTACACAGAATTCCTGTTAAAAGTCTTTTACTAGCAGTTAAGTCTAAAATAATTAGGTACATGCAAGTAGTAAATGTTATTGAATCAGCTAGAATAAATCCAAGGAGCTGGAAACTGAGACACACTAATAATGCAAGTGAGATATGCTTAGCTATTTTTTTTTAATTTTATAATATTTATTTTTACATATTTTTGTGCATTTTTCCATCTCAGTTGCAATCCCCATGGGTTTCCCATCACCAAATCACCGGTGGGCCATTACCACAGTCCATTACATTTCCCTCCCCCACTGTTTTTGATCCCCTTCCCCACTCCACCCCCCACAAAATGTCTCTGGTATGTAGCTGTTCATCATTATTATTTTCTCACCTGTTCATTATATTCCTGCTATGAGAGAAACCATCAGTATTTTTCCTTTTCTTTCTGGCTGATTTCACTAGTGCCTCGCTATTTTTAGGACATGCCCATAGTGGATGTCTTCTCTGAGCAACAGCAACTAAAATAAGTTTATTCTCATGTTTTCCAACAAAGTATTTGGTTGAAACTTTTGTCATTTGACTATGTAACACTTCAAAATTTAAATGTTGAATTAACAAAGTTTATAACACCATCCTTACCTTTCTAGCTTCCTCCCCCATCATTGCGCTTAATACTTCTATTTCTTTCTTTCTGTTCTTCCGAAGGAGTGTGGCCATTTCACGGTAACATTCATTTCGTTGTAGGTCATCACGTCTTTGTTTATGTAAAGCTTCAATTCGCCAGTCAGTATTTAAACATGCCTGTTCCGCTTTTGCCAGATTTTCTTCAATTAACTAAGAAAACATTTATAAATTTCAGGAGCAGACTGTATAAAATCATGTTTCATCTGAACATCCAGGGCAGCTCTTGTAACCCTGGTTGCACATTAGACTCCCTCAGAGTGCTGAACAGACACTCGTGGACAGGCCCCACCACAAACCAGTTAAGCCATTTTCTAGGGTGGCTGGACATTGGCATGTTAAGACAGCTCTTCAGGTGATTCTGATGTCTGGCTAAGGATGAGAACTTATAAGCTTGCGGGATGGTTGGGATCCAACAATTGGAGCATTTCTGCATCTTGAAAAGGAATTAGAGTTACAAAAAGAAACGATGGGATATTCTTGAGGGATCAGTCAAGGGACTGTTGTAGAATAAGAAGGTGGCAAATAAGAAGGTGACACTATCCTGGCTTTTGCACCAGGGTCAGATTCCAGGTAACATTTTTGTTAAGGAGATAACAGGGGTACAAGCCAGAGGTGTGTGGGTGGTGAGATCTTCACCAGAGACAGAGTGGGGAGCAGGACAGACAGATCGATGAAGTACACTGCAGAGGGGAAAAATGAATGGGAGAGGAGAGATCTGCTGGGCCATGTGGGTCACCTCTAGGGCTGGAGATCAAACTCGCACTCAAGCGGCTGTGGCCAGCTTGCAGTGCTGCGTCCCAACCCATTGCGCCACCAGGGAGGGCCTGGGAAATATTTTTAAAGACTTGCAATGTACCCTATCTTCCAATCTGACATTAAAATTTCACTTCAAGGGCCCTCCCTGGTGGCGCAGCGGGTTAAAACACAGCACTAAGAAGCTAAAGCCACTTCCACATGAGTTCGATCCCAGCCTGCCCCGGAGGTGACCGCATGGCGTGGCAGACCTCTCCTGACCTGCCCACTGCTCCCCTCAGCAGTGTACTTTGTTGATCTGCCTGTTCTGCTCCCCACTCTGTCTCTGGTGAATCCTCTCACCCTCCGCATCTCTGGCCTGTACCCCAGTTCTATATGAATAAATAAATAAATCTTAAAAAAAATATTTCACTTCAAGACAGCATTTCTAGTATTTGCTGTCTCCCACATTTACTGCAGAGAGATGACTAACATTCTACAGCACGCACTTCAGAAACGCTGGGTGTTCCGTGACTGAGTTGACTCAGGGCCAGTTTCTGAGACAACACAGTAGGATCATGCCCCTTCTAAAGTGACTATTTCCTTAGTATTTTCTTTGAGGTGGAATGAAATATTATCAGAGTGTGAAAGACATGTCTACGACAGTCATGAGGTGACCTGCACCTGAAATAATGGGAGATTTCAAGAACTATGACACCGGAAGCAAAGACAGGAATTAACTTCAGAGTTCAATTTTGAACCCCTTCTTTTAAAAGGGCGACAGCTGGAAATGCCCCTCCAAACACATGCCCTGAATTTACTTGTACCGTCTGAGTTTTTTGGCTCTGAGTATCTGTGTTCATCAGCTTGTGGAACATTGCTTGCTCCAGGTCCACTTTTCGTCTGTAGGCGTCTGCATCCTCTCGCATTTCTTTTGCGGCAGTTTCTTGACTTCGAGTAAGATTCTATTTAAAAAAATCATTTTGTGAAAAAAGTCACCAGTTACATATTGATAAAATACAAAAAAAAAAAA